ACCCATCAATCTTTATTTGGAATGAAGGATATCGTGAGAACACCAGATTATCGCTTAGTCGAAATAGGCTACAATAAATTGATTAACGAAAAGGAGTGCTTCATCAAACTGAATATTAGTTAAATTGTTGCAATACCAATAACTAAAAATATTATTATGATTATATATGAATAAGATTTTAATGTAGAATCGATACATTACAATTAGGTAGAATTAAATTAAATATAATAGTAATTTAGATGAATTTAAAAGGATGCTGACTGCTTATCATTTGGTAAGAAGCTCGTGAGTTGACTATAATTTAATTTAATTTTGTGTTTGTTATAGATAAACCAATATATATAAAGTAATTGATAATTGTAAATAAATAGAACTGTATATTTTATTTGTATTTCAAATAAGTATAACATTCCTTTTGATTATTAAAGTAAAGGGTTAAGATTAATAATTGTTCTTAGTAGGTAAGTACGTAGGTAATTTATTTTTTCCATACAAACCCGACAAATGTGTCCAGTTTAGCTTTAACACATAGATACAATAAATTAAACTAATAATGTTAAAATTTATTTATTTTAGAAGTTATTATTACAGCATAAGCTGCTATAGTGCCACGCCGTACTTTCAGTAATCACCTACGCATACTTCCAGAGTTTCAAATTAATTATATGGGCCTAAACTAGAGGTCGGAATTCTTCGTATTTGAGTTATTGAGCTAATTCTTCTTAATTTAGTTTGTATATGTAACTTAACTAATATTTGAATTTGTAAATATTCAAGTATGAAACATTTTTTTTCTTTTTTTGAAGAGTTTAATCCTTAATAATTTTTAAACATTAAACTGAAATTAATTTTCTATTTTCTACAGAAGCTGCGGACCCGGGTTCGATTCCCGGCGAGGGCATGGTACCAGCAACATTTTTTCCTCATTAATTTGAGGTAAACTGCAGACAGTAAAAAATTAATCTTGTTTTAATGTTAAAAAATGATTAAATATTCAAGTATTTGATGAAAATACACTCAATGAATCAAATATTTGAATATGTAAATATTCAATCAAACATTTGAATATTTAAAATCTTCATACATGTTGATTTCAACATTTTGTTATCATAAGGTGGTCAGTCCTGAGATTGGTTGGACACTCCATCTCCGCTCCCTCCTATCTTGAGCTAATTTTCGCATTTTCCTAAACCTAAAACATCACACATCCTTTACTATTTGCGAATAGTAATCTAATCTAGGTCTACCTCTACTCTGTTTAACTCCAATTTCTGTCTCTGACTAGATCTTTATGCCTGAAAA